ACCTTTGATGATACAATTGAAAAATGATAACAAGGTGGGAGGCTGCCCATTTACTTGCCCTGATGCCAAGGGCTCATATACATGGTTTTGACCTTCCCTATACCATGTCCCATGCCTTGCAGATGGCATCCATATTACTCCAGTGCCTCACACTGAGATCTGCACTCCTGTGCCCTCACACTGGGGTTCACAATCTCTGTGCCTCACATTGGGACTCTAGATCCCCCCACTCAGGGCTCCCAGTCCCTACCTTTTCCTTGGGTTCCCTTCCCAGCTCAGGACCCTCTTGGTCCCCTCATGCCCCAACACTGGGGCCTCATAGCCTGCCTGACACTGGGCCTCAATCCCCTGCCTAACACTGGGCCTCCCACCCCACTGGAGCTTCACATCCAACTCCTTAATGCAACTTAGGCCTCACAGTGAGCCTGGAAGCTGCCCCAGGTCCCTTCCTGACCTGGGCCCTGCCTCAGGACTAGCAGTGAGCCTGGGCTTTTGCTTTAATTTCAGGGTGTACTCCCCTAGTTTGTCCCTTCAATGGGGTCACCCACAAGGCAGTAGGAGCTGAGGCTTTCTGCAACCCCATACTTGCCTTTCACTGGGGAGGCACAGATGTAGCATTTCCTGGATACTGCCCTGCCACCAGCAGTTCCACCACACCATCCAACCCCAGCAGAGTGCTGTTTTAGGTCAGACCCCAGGACCAGGATCCTCCACCTTCCCCATAGCTCCTTCCCTGTACCTCCAAGGTGTTATGAGCAGCAGCTCCAGCCAGGTGATTTTCTCCCCTTAGTTGGTAGCAGCAAACTGCTGGCTTCACTGCTCAGAGCCCCGCTCTTATAGTGAACAGCTGGGCTCTGTTCCTACTCAGGCAGTTGTGCCTGACTGAAAGAGCAGCAACCTGCAGCCTGCTTTGCTGTCTCCTTACACCCCTGTGAGTAAAAGAGCACACCCTGTGCTCTGTTACACGCTGGTTGAAAAATTGTTAGAAAACAAGTCAGTTTGTGTATGGTTTATATTTTAAATGATGCCATTTTCTAAGGGCCTTGTTACAAACATTAATTTTAATTGGCTCCTGGAGCGTTTAAAGTTATGCCACTCCACAGTAGATTTATCTCTGGGCCTTGTTACACAATAATTTTGAGCAGCTTCTGGAGCTCTTAACCCCTGGATTGTTGGCATATTATCACTTTAAAGTGGTTTTAAGCATTTATTATGCAGTTGAAAGTTATGCCGCTCCAGAGCAGGATTCTCTCTCATCTGCAACACCCAGGTTCTTGTCCATTAAGGTGCATCCATTCCCCACAGGTGTGTCACCCAAGTTGAGGTCCTCCAGTATCCCAGGATCACAGACCCCTGCCCATAGGGCAGGGATAGAAACCTGTCCTAGCTCACCAGCCCTCTAGTGGCAACTCACAGCTACAGCTCCTAGTCCTGCCCCTACTCACCAGGCCTGTAGTGGCAAGTCACAGCTATGCAGGTGGGGGGCAGTTAGAGAAAGTTTCTAGACTAAGGGTGTGACTGCTCCAAACTCCAATCAACATGTTTGGTTCATAGCTTAGGGTGTAACAAGGCCCTCTGATTTGTATTACCCAGCTCATGTTCCATTAATTTGTGGCCACTCCCCACAGATGAGCAGCCCAAATTGCAGTTCTTCAATGCAGCGTCCCCTCCCCCACCCTCCTGTGACACCATTTTCCACCCCTTTAACTCTACAGCCCAGGAAGCAGTTCTGGCACCAAGCCAACTACTGCCTTTGGCCCTGTAAGTGGTCTTCCTATCCCCAAGGCTGAAACCCAGTTGAAAAAGCCTGCAGAGTCCTGCTTGCAAGGTGTGGCTCAAGCTAGTCTAGTACCAATCTACATTTGGGCAGCTCAAAATGCAATGTACAACAAGGCCCTAAGAGTCCACTCCTATTGGCTAGCATCAAAAAAATTGGGAGGGGATGGGAGGACAAGGATTTGATTCAAAGTAAGTTTTAATCTCTCTTTAAACAATGGTAATGATTTATTCTGGCAAAAAAAATTCTAATTTTTAGAGTGGTCCTAAAATGTGAGACTGTACTTTGCAGGTGCACCATATAAAAAAGAATAAAAAGTAATAGTAAAAGTAATAGTAATAAAAGTCAAAGAATAAAAAGTAATACTTCTGAATTGTAATGATACCTAGCTCATCCTCAGCCAGAAGTCAGTTATATACTGTATTTTTTCATATACTATACATTCCCAAATATGACACACCTTGTTTTAGGGAAGGCAGAATGAAGAAAATAATTTTTCCAGAGTTATGGCTGCCTAAAACAGGGAAAGAAACTAATCTTTACCTCACTCTCCTTTCTTCTCAAAGAAAATCTATAGTTTTGACCTTTTTACATATGAACTGTCAGCAGCTCAGGCAAAGCTGAAACAGTAGGTGCTGCTGAAGATTGGACTCCATGGATGGATCCACAATTTTTAAAAGAGTTCAAAAAACAGTCTGTAGGCCTGTGACACAGGAGAAGAGACACCAGGAATAACTAACAGACAGCAAAATTCCAGAGCAAAGAACAGCTTGATTAGTGGAACTCAAGACCAGTAAAAAGGAGAGTGAAGAGTGGAATCACCTATGGACTGAAGAGTGATTAGTTGCAATCAGGTAGCTTATAATGAGGCAGGAAGTCAGTTGCCTCCCTCTGCACTGCCTGAATAGACACTGCTGCTGCTGGGCAAGGTAGGTGAAACCACACTACTCCACCCCCCTGGATCTGCCCCTATTGGAATCCCTCCATCCCTCCATGGTACCGCACGGGAAGAGAAGGAAAAGAAGCAACACGTGTCTTATAGTACCTCCATATTTCTATTTTGGTTAGAAAATCTGGGCATTTATAGATGTGCTCTGAGCAAGGGGGGGGGGGGGGGGGGGGTGCATTTTAACTACTGCAGCTCCAAAAGCTTCACAAATTAAAAGCACCCAGAACACCATGTGCACCAGTGTCCCTGCATTAAAAAATGGCTGCAGGGCACTTTAAACTAAAGCTCATCAAACAAGCTTTAGTTTAAAGCACTCCACCACCATTTTTCATTGCAAGGATGCTAATACACATGACACTGGAGTCTGTTAGAGCGCAGTAATTACCACACTCCAGCGGACTCAATTAATCGCGTCTGCTCTGACACACTAGTTGCAGCTCGTTGGAGCACCTTTCCTGCACTTATATAGGAGCCCTCCATTTCCCTGCTTGTTATATGAATTCCAGTTTTGGATAACTAATTTGTTGAGGGAAAAGCTGGGCACCTTTACTGGATTGAAGTCACTGGCATCATTTTTGAAGAAAGGTTCGACTCAGCCTGAAAGGGGGTATCAGACTTTGGGCTTAAGGGTTCCAGCAATACCTAGCTTCATTTAGATTGAGAGGTTCAGACTGGGAACCTCCTGTACAGGCAGAACAAGTAAACACGCCCATTGTCAAAATAAGCCCCCCATACAACAACCGGGTTCACAGTTCAGCCCAAACAAATTATTTAAAATCTGCTTGTTTGCAGATTATTCCTGAACTGAAAACAAGGCTAGATTTGTCATATAGGGCTGTTCACTCTGAATCATTCACCCAGCTCTCCACCAAAAAATAAATCTTCTCTTTGTGTAATTGAAATGCTCCCTAATTCCTTATGACTGACCAATTATTTAAGTGTAAAGTTAATACTATATGTAGTCAATCTGCTCACATTTTCTGTCACACAAGGATTCTCATTTTATGTACTAAATTTCTCAATTTTACTTAAATGATGCCAAATAAATTAACATCAAGGTTTCTGCCTGCTAGTTTGCTGAAAGAGACATGTCTTTTTAGATATCTTTTAAACCAGCTCTGACATTTTAATGGGATATAATTATTATAATGAGAAATCCATTATAGAGACAGGATTGAGGTCACATTAGGGAAACATCCCCCCCCCTTTGTTATCACATGTAATGAGGTCTGTTGATCCTTTAAAATTGATTTAGATTATAAAGAAACAAAATAAATATAAAATGCTCATACTTGTACAAGAAAGCAAGTCTAGCTTGCAAACATTTTTGTTTTTGTAAGTGTACGAGAAATCATTTCACATCTCTATTGGCAGTCATTTTGAATAACTTCTAATACCATTTTGTAGGTATGCAGTCCTCAGAGAAAGATCGGAGAATCTGTGAATTCCCTCTTTAATTTATACTGTCTTCTGTTTTATTGATCCATCAAATGATATAAAATTTCCTTTGCAACAGTGATCTGTAGGAAGCTTTTTTTTTTTTATTTGTAGCTAGTGGAGGTTTAAACTCCAATAATCAGAATAAAATTTAGTTTGCTTTTTTGTACACGCACTATTTATTTACTGTAGAAACTTGCATGGAAAATGTAACTGTACACAAAACCATTAGTATTCTGTTGGGAGGATTTGTGTTTTGTGTTGGAGGCAGTTCACATTAAACTCAAGGTCTTAATACTCCTTTGAGGCTTCTGAAGCCCCATGGCAACTCTTGAAAAGACTTTTATTTCTTCAGCATATGTAAATTGGATAGGGTGAAGTCAATGTGATTTAAAGCTAACATCTCTTCAAGAACTCAGATGAGACAAAGGTTTTATTAAATGAAATAGAGGAAATTGAAGTTCCAACATTTCAGTGTAATGTGATCATGAAGATGGAAAATAATATTTAGTGAAATTAAAAGTGCAGGCTTGAAATTTACATCACTCTTAATCTACATCTGTTCTTTTCATTTAATTTATCTGACATGCCCCACTTCTTCCAGGGGAATTATGGAACAAGATCTATTGGATATAGGGATATTAAAGAAGCTGCTTTTGGGTCACACAGTGATTTATGCCACATCGTTTATATGATGTTAATCAGACAGAGATGATACTAAATTTCGAAGAGAAAATACAAAGAAGCTCCATCATTCAAACACACACACAAACACACACGCACAAGTAGCTTTGCCAATGTTTTTACTTACATTTAATATAATATTTACAATCTTCTGTCCAACACTGTTATTTTATATTGCTCAAAGTGGGGAAATTATTTTTCTTCATGAAGCCTTAGCCTGAAAATATAGAGCCTGATTGTAAATTATTTCCATTTGAAAAGTGAGAACATTTAACATTCATTGGGAACATGTCTGATTTAAAATAGGCTAACATTAGGGCTTAATGAGATATTAGTATTTGCCACAGCTTGATCTATGACCTGTACCAAGTTATTTGTGTCACAAGATTATTTTATCCTGTGTAGCTCATCAGAAATTCTTAACTAATTGCTACTATTCAAATGACTGCATTATTTGCTAACATGTTGCAAATACTTCTTTTCCCCACATTTGGAAAAGTTTAAAGGAAGCAAAGAGGAGATAACCTTATGTAGAACTTGTTCACAGCAATTTGAGTTTTAAATTAATACACATTTGGGCTGGTAAGACAGAACACAAGGAAAAACAAACCCTGCAAATGTCAGAAAGGGAGCTTTCACTCTTGCAGCTGCAGCAAATGGACTCATGGGCTTTTCTGTTCTCAGAGGTATTGGCAGGTGTGAGGCACTGGATCAAGGAGGGTCAAGAGCATTATTTTATGCCTAGACAAGTTTTTCAGGCCCCCTTTTCAGACACATGCTCTTGTGCATCCTAATGTTTAAATGCAGTTTTTCTTCTCCACATTACAACACACACATTAAGTATTTAGATGCCAAATTACAAATTTTGGCACAACATCTCATGAACAAAGTGTCAACCACCATTCTGGATGCTGATTTTTAAGGTGGTTTTGAACAGGCTCAAGTACTTTATTACCAAAAAAAGCATTTAAACATTTTACTTATCATTTGTAATTTCTAGAGCCCCTTTTTCTGCTAGATGCTGGACACTGGCATAATTAAGGTATAAACCAAGTCTTAAAAAGCTTGAAGTCAAAGGTTATTAAGGTCACTCACCTTGCCATGCACCCAAAAAGTGCCTTCTTACTTCTCTTGCATAATCTATCCATATCATAGATAGCAGTCCACAGAGGTGCTACTTTTTTTCTTCCTCACAGCAGGAGTGGGCTGAGCTGGCTTGAGCTAAGGATGAAATTGTGCATCAGGTAATGGGAGCTAGTGCCCCTGGACAAAGGGAGCTATCACAAGTTTGAATCTGAGCAATAAGTCTTCTTTTGTGCGAGCACAACAGTGCACTACCACTGACTTATGTTTTGTGTCAAGGCCAGAGTTAAATCCTGAGAAGGGCCATATTATACCCGTTTTAAAAGTAAGGAAATGAGGCACAAAGAAAAATGACTTGCCCAAGTCACATAGGAAGTCTAGTTCTCTAACTACAAAGCTCTGAAGAAAGCACAGCAAATAAGAAACAAGAAAAGGTTAAAAGTTTGTAAATACGGTATCTCCTTCCATAGAACAGCCCTAGACTTCCTTATGCATCTTGTTTTCAAAAGGCAGAATAAAGGGGGGGGGGAAGTTTCCCAGAGTTTTAGCTTCCTAGAGCAGGCATAAAGTTGGCCCTCCCTCCCTTTCCTGCTTAACTAAAAGTGAAACCATGGATCTCACTGACGACTGGTCCCCCTGGGGGGATCTATGATTTTGGAGAGAAGAACAATGAGTCATTAAGTCAATTGACCCCCCCCAGCTTCTTGAATAGTAATACAACAGTTGCTGCATTATGAAGCAGGAATCAAAGCAGGGTGCTTGTATCTCAGTCATAAAATCAGCCTTTTCACTTAATACGCACCCCCAATTTGGGGGGCAAGAGTTGACTTTGGGGGGTACAAGAGTTGATTTTGGGGGGAAAAGTTTATGTTATATGTGAGAAAACACATGATATAACTACACCTCTCTTAATACCTGCATTAGCCAGCATTTATGAACTTGATGTTGGAAAACCTTCCTGAGACAAATAATTCAATCAAATACAGAACAATAGAGCATATAGGCAGAGCCTTTGGAAGATATTAAGGTAGGTAGTGTAGTATAAAGATTGGCTTTTTTTTAACAAGCTAATTTGGGTAGGGGTAGCAGTGTAAGTGCAAGAGCACAGAGATTAGTGTACACTATGATAATTTACCCAGACAAAATGCATATGCATCCAAGTTTAGAACTGGTCACTGAGCTAGCTCATTTAAAGCTAGTTTGGGTACTTTCAAACTACACTTCAGCCCAGACATACCTTTAGTCTGTAGGCTCTCCCCTACAGTACAAGGGGTAAAAGATTTCTAGAAACTTTCCCCATGAGGAAAAACCACCAGAGCTGGTAATTTCCCTAGCACTGTGATCTATAATTAAGTATTTCTTTTACTAGAAACTGATACACTCTTACTATCTGTCCTGGCTCTCTGTTAATTCAAGAGTGATACATTAACTAAGCACATATAGTCAATTATAAGAAAATGTCACTTCCCACTTAAGAACAAGAAGTGTGGGAGCAAAACTTGTTTTTCCACACACTGGGCTACACCTATAAATCTCTCAAACCAGGTTAATAGGCAGACAGATTGAAGACAAAACATGAAGACTAGACCAGACCTCAGGCAAAAAATACATGTAAAAATGCATGCTGTATGCCTAATAAACCAGTCCTCAAATGCTTAATCAAAATATGCATTGATTTCAACTGAGTACAGTCAGTATCAGTATCATAATTCATAATACAAAATAGATAACCAGATACTTCTTACAATGTCAGGGGAATTACAGGCTGCGATTTTAAGTGTAGAAATCAATGAGAGCTTGGACTAAGAAAGGACTTCAAAGAATGGCCTTGTATGGACTCGACTCAAAATGCCATTGTAAGGGAAAATGAAGTCATTCATTGTTCATTCAGGTGGAGATTTCTATTCAGGTCATATAACCCTTTGGAAGTGCTGAACACCTTACAGTAGATGGCCGTGAATACACATGCAATCAATTTACCAAGGGGCACAAGACAGTGCATGTATTGGAAAGGTCTAGTTTTCATTTTGTGAAAAGCATCTGACCCAAGTATTTATTTATTGAAGTAATCCGTAATGAACCAAGTCCTCTGCTTCACCAACTGTAAAGTCAATACAACTGAAGGGTGGAGGGAGGAAACGGTGACTCTAGGATATATGGTCCCTGGTGGATCTGTTCCCTCAATACTGGACCAACCAAGAGGCTGAAACAATCCTTAGCAAAACTTTCAGCAGTTCTAAACTATCCCACGGTAGCACAGAATGCCAGACTCCCTCTGACTTGTGGCCTTCATTTGGCGTGCCCATTTCCTAATCTTCTTCGACCCAATAGAATTGCTCTGTGGAAATGCTGGGGACCAGATTGCATAGACCAGATTTCATCAGAGGAACTTTAAAGCAAGGCAGCCAGATCTGGGCTGCAGGCCCAATGTAAGATTTTTTTTTCTGATGAGCAACTGCTATCAAGAAGATACATGCATGGAAATTAAACAACCGTACTACTTATGATATATGTTGCGTGATTCTTAAAACTGAGAATGAAAAGTATGACACTCATAGTCCCCTGCTACATGTTATACTTAGGACATGATTAAGTAGCTAATTATGTCTCAAGTTGAGACCCAGCCACACATTCAATCAATTAATGATGTGATAAAATGAGGAATAAGCCACACCATTATTTCACAAAAAAATGTGTAATAACTTTGTGGCTCATTTCTATCAAATCATTAACTGAACATGTGGTCTGGGCTCCCCTCTGGCTGGGAGCCCTGTCAATTGTGGGCTCCCAGCCATGGGAGTTTGCTACTTGCTGGTGCAGGGAGCCCCTTTGTTAGCAATAAGCTGTGCTTGGATCTGATGTTGGATCCCACAATCATGCGTCCTGCTATGCACATGTGGCATGAAAGGAGTCAAAATTGCATGGATCATGCATCACATCCTATCACGCATTTACCTGAATGTCTGGCAGGGGCCATGTTGCCCACAGTTATGTAATCTGTCCACTGTCACCTCAGCACAGCTATTCCATAGAATACAACCCAGATTCATAATTAAAATATGTAACTCAGTGGGAGCATCTACATGTGAAATTAATTTGTTTGAATACACTCTGGTGCAGTTTGCACTGGACTTAATCAATCCTATGCGCACTGTTTGAATGTGCTCCCCAGACCACAACATGCTGAGCCAGGCTAGAGAAACCCTGGCTGGCAGGGGACCCAGGAGGTAAGTCTGCCAGTCTAGGGCTGATCTGACCCAGATCAGTGTGCTGCAGAGGGCTGGCTGGGACACAAGGGCGCTCCAGTGTAGGGCTAGCTGGAAGGCAAACCCTGCACTAAAGCACCCTCATGCCCCAGCCAGCCCCATCAGTGTCTAAACATGTGTTGCAGTGCATTAAACGCTGCTATAGCATAGTACTTCTGTTGACAAGTACTAATCCATGGCGCTGTTTACTGCAGCATAATAGGGCCACACGTGTAGACGCTGAGACTTTAATAATGCAGAACTAATTAGGCAATTCTGCACTAAACGTCTCAGGTAGACATACCCAGTCTGTATAAAATATAATGAAGTGAATTCAAAATGAGCATGATATACAGATTATACGAATTTCCAAAAATCCAGTTAACTTTTAAGAATACAAGTAAGGATTCTAAAGATGGAACAAATGGAAAAAAAAAACCATGTATCCACTATTACCTTGGCCTGTCTTCACTTCACATCTTACTCCACACAGGTACATGAGACTCTTTTAATAGTATCTGTGGTGCAAACTGAAATCTGTACTATCCTACAGTTTTGAGAAATTTCTGCGTCAGCAGTTCAGATAAGAAGAGATTCTGATCAACAGGTTTCAATTCATATCCAAGCTTTGGGAATTTCCTAAACAAAATGGAATCTATTGGCCCTTTATAATTTGGCAATTTCACATTTCTGTAATGTTTCTGGTACTTCATGAAAGGTTTAGATACTAAAAGTGCAGGAAAAATACAAGTCATAAAGCACTGAACGATAGTTCCCAGAATGTTAAAACATTATTATTTTCAGGATTTCAGGGTTTACATTCCAAATATGCTATCATCAGAGAAAAAGGTAAGTACTGTTGAAGTCAAATAAGTGTATTTATCGGTGACTATTTACAGTGGACGCATCTACAGGAGACATTTACTGCTCAGTTAACTAATTAGCTGAGCAGTAAATGTTGACATGTCCCCCAATTAGGCCAGAGTAGATTAATTAACTACACAGAAGGATAGTACTTGTAAATACTATCCTGTAAATAGTACATACACGTACTATCCTGCTATGGAGTATTTTAATCTGCAGCAGTGCACATGTAATGTGCACGAGCTGGTGGAGCATGAGGGTGCTTCAGTGCAGGAGCTGCCTGCCGGCTAGCCCCACACTGAAGCACCCTTGTGTCCCAGCCAGCCCCTCTGCAGCACACTGAGCTGGCGGGGAGCAGCTCCAGACTGGCCAGCTGACCCCCAAGGTTCACTGCCAGCCAGAGCTGCTCTGACCTGGGTCAAGGTGCAGATGTGGTATCTGGGAGCAGTAAATTTTGGCATGATAAACTCTGGAGTTTATTAAAGTGCACTAACAGCATGTGTAGATGGATCCAGTAAGTACAAATCTAGACCCTCATATGGAAATAGACCACCTTTTGCTTCAAGAAAAGAGGCTTCCATCAGCCATGCCATAATGGGAATCATGGTATCCAAAATGTTGTTTTTCTCCTTCAGGGAGGAAGATTATGTCTTTTTTTTTTTTTCTTTTCCAAAGATCTCTGTAGTTGTCATCTGTATTTTTCTTTCTTCCATTTTCTTGTTTTGCAAAAAATCCATTTTATATGTCAGCTATGTATCTTAAAAAAGGATGGAACAAAACACCCATAGAAACAATACTGAACTGATATCCTGCTTTGTGCTATGATATTTTGGTAGCAGATTAACAGGTACTAACACTGGGCAGTATTCAAGGATAAAATCAACATTAACTTTTCTGTAGAACATTTACGATTTTAACCTTCATATGTCGCTATTGGCTCTCCATGAATCATGTATGCTAAGTGCACATTAAGTTGAACCATTTGACCTTATTGAGAAAGGAGGTAGAAGAACGTCCGAGTCCTATTCT